ATCGCAAGAAAGACCTCCAACACCTCCAGCTGGTATGGATCCTGAGACTGGACCTGAGCAAAGCAGTAGGGAACCCGAGAACAGTTCGATTGTGAATGAACCCAATCTCGAACACGTACCACTATTAGACGGTGAAACCTCCGCTGAAACCATTGGAAATCTACCACGTCGATCTGTGCGTACAAAATATACACCGGTGTGGCACAAGGACTATGTCATGAAGTGAACGCTCTCAGCGTTAGACAACTTAAACGTTAAGTACCAGTACTTTATGCATATATACACTTCTATATTATACAGTAGTTTCATATTTTGTTAAAGGGGAAAAGATGTCACGATGTTATTAGGTGACGTCACGATGACGAAAACATTAATTTGATTGACAGGCGCGGCGAGCGGGGCGTACGAAAAGTAACGCAAGCTAGGCGTTTTATATATTGTAAACAAATGACTATTTCTCCCGATTTCTTGTGAATCAGAAACTATATCGTAATAAACTAACACGTTACATTTATGGCCTTTGAAAATCAAGCGAAATTGTATTGTTGATAAATCGCTCGCAGTACGTACGTTTGTTGACAAATCACAGACAAGGTATTAAATCACTCGCAGAACGTTTGTCTTTGTATTTGTGATGCCTAATGGCATACCACAGTCCACAGTTCAATTCAGCGTAAGAAATTGTACTTACGAAGGTCCAATGTATTACTAAACAACACTATTCTAGCGATTTATGACCTTTGTCTTTGAAAGCCAAGCGAAATTGCATTGTTGACAATTTGCTCAAAATTATTAAACTAAATTTAATTATAAAAAATGCAGTACGTTTGATCCTTGATAACTTTTTTGGTTTGGCATCGCAATATTTGTATTTTGAACGTGTTAATAGCAGTTTAATCCTAGTGTACGGGCCAACTGGCGGCCGCCAGTCGACAGAAGAATGTAGCGTAATGAATATAACTTTACTTGTACGGCAGAAACGCCGGAAGTTTTATTTGTAGGGCACCGCATTTTAGTACTGCGTCTGGTTCTATAAAATCCTGACCTGGCCACCTGGGGTCACTATACTGTCCTAGGCCTGGATCAAAACTAATTCACCTATTAACAAAAACTTCAAAACTGAGCCACCTATCTGCACTACAAACTTAGCGAATTTGAGAGCGGCAGCACTCTCCCCTTGACAAGCAAAATCGACTGGTATGCGGCGTTAAAATAATAATGGAGTGTACATGTGCCATTGGGGCAAGGTCCAATACTCAAAAATATAATCTGTGTCAAATACTGTTGCTAAACATGATAAGCTCTCTCCTCCGCAGATGCTTACATGAAGTTTCTAGTGAAGGAAAAGTGAGCGCGCGAGGAGTGATGGGAAGAGCTAAATAATGGAAGCCTCTGCGAGTTAATGCAATCAATATGGCGTCGTATATAATCGTTTGTAGCGAAGTTCGAGCAACTATCGGGGGTGTTAAAACATGTTTTCGACTTTCATTTTCAAGCGTACTTGAGTATCCTGGGGTGAATTCAATATCAATATCTTCTTCTGTTCATTTGCATCGAAAAATATTGAGAAACTGCAAACGAATATCAATGGCAGAGCCTCCTCTGGCAGAGCCTCCCCAACTTCATTTCAATCTTCCCATCACACCGCGCGCGCTCACTTTTATTCAAGAAACTTCATGTAAGTTATTTGTTAATACTTAAGGAGGCTCTGCGGAGGAGAGAGATAAGTTTGATTTTAAATATAGTTCACCAAAAACTATTCTATATAAGCGGAATTTGCATGTTTTCCGTGCGAAGGACAAAAGCACAGCATGTGTTGCCTAACAGAAGAACAATATTTCCTCCGCAGGCAAAATATACAAATTCTCCCAATACAATTAGTGTAAACTCTAAATTATGCACAATGCATATCACAAAAACAAATCAACAAACCAACCGCCTCGCACGTTCTAAGAAAGACCCTGGGAAAGACCTTGGCCAACCGAGGCCAATGTGAACGCCTGAGCTGGCGTCTTCGTTTTCTGTTAATTGTTCTGTTTTTCAGTTTTTCTGTAGCGGTTACCAAATTATGAGCAAATATGGTGACAAAATTGTACTGCCTCAGCGAGTTAACGCTCCATAGAGCGTCTTGTTGCATTGAAAAAACGTCGCGTGTAATTATTGCATTGAAAAAACGTCGCGTGTACTAATGCATTGAAAAAACGTCGCGTGTAATTATTGCATCATCCCTGAGAAAACGTCGCGTGTAATTCTGAAGAAAAAAACGGCGAGTGTAATTTTGAAGGAAAAGAAAACGACGAGTGTAATGGTAAAAGAACGGCGAGTGTTTACAGTCATGGCCCTTCTCGGCCATCGTAATTACGTAATTTCGAGCATAGACAGATTACGTAATTTGCCGATTTGTGTGAACTCCTATAGTCCCCTGGGCACAGTTTCCGGCGAATAATTAACTAAATTATGTCGCGCAAATGTCTAGCGTTAATGCGTTAATGTATATCGTAAACAAACGCGTTTTGACAGACTCCGTAATGAGGTAATGCCATGTCATTTAACAATAATTTGGAAAAAAGTATTGTACCTGCTTTTGTTAAGAAAATGCTGTTCCCCTGAAAGAGAAAAATACAATGAATCAGTCAATTTATGATAGCAAGCTTCAGCAAGGAACGTTCTTGTTAACAATATATAGGTTAACCTAAAATTCAAAAACAATTTCCTCATAGCTTGTCTATAAATTTGAAAATATTTCTTCAGAGATCTTGCAGAAATGCACACAGTAAAACAGCAGGAGAAATTTTAACCCAGTGTTAGCGCTAACCCAGCTTTGAACAACCGGCCCCGGAAGTCACTCATGCAATAAAGAAAGCAATAGCTGTTCTTGTTAGAAATCACGAACGTGATAGAGCATTCTCAAATCATTAATAATTCATGAAGAAAACACAAAGAATATTATAAGCGAAACGTTGTTTGGAAAACTGGTAATAAACATCCATATATTAAGCCAACGTTTCCCTCAAATTTCTCTTAAAATACCAACTCTTTTGAGAAGCTATATATCATAAACGGGAAGCCGTTTATTACCTGATTTGAAAGCACATCGAAGTTGGTTAAAAACTCGGCTATCGCCTCGTTGTCCAATACACTTCTCGGTGGTTTCAAATCAGGTGATAAACGGCTTCTCGTTTATGATATATTACTTATTAAATTGACTGGAATTCTTGATTTGAAGAAAAAACTGCAAACGCTATAATAACTGACAGCCGCTAGTTAAGTGTGATGAAAACCTTCGCTTGCTTGCTGTTGGATTGCGTAGTTCTGTGGTTAATGCAGTTGTATAGCGGTTAATTCATGCATGCATGTTTCCCTCACCGGCCCAAGCGACAAGATTCAACAAGGTTCGTAGTTTTTCTAAATTATTTTACCCTCAATCTCATTCGAGAAAAGTATTCTCTGCCATAAACGCGGCTGGTTTTCTCCAGCTACTTCCTGCTTGTGCACCGGCCCCAATTTGGAACGAACGATGAATGGTTTTAGGACTGAGAGCTGTTGCTACAGCGGACAAATAAGAGATTTCTTTACTGAGGCCTAAGAAATGCTGAGTTTCCGGCGAAAACCAGTGATATCGTGCGAGAATGTGGATTCTTTCAACAGAATGCAAAGTCCGCAGCGATAATGCAACAGGCGATTCTACTAAATCATAGCAAACACTGAATTCGCCGGCCAATTCTGATTTCCGGTCATCGAAACCGTAGTTAAATTACACATTTGGAATCAGCATAAAATTTGATCTCAATCCTAACTGGTAGATGAGGCTGAAAGATTTAAGTATTGAAGCGAATTACTTCACCCGTCTGTGGTGGTATAATAATAGTGAGCTTAAGCAAGTGAGGTTTTTGACAACACGACGTCGACTGGAAGTAAAGTTGACGTTTTTCACCAATCACAGCCCTTGACCCAGTCATCTGACGTTACTCATGACGTTCGTGTTGTCACATGCTTAAGCTTGTAGTATATGCTCATATATAGTATACATATATACATTATATGTATATATATATATATATATATATATATATATATATATATATATATATACATTAATTAGGTTGAAATATATAAATTATTATATATATATATATATATAAGTATTAAATATATATATACATATATATATATATATATATATATATATATATATATATATATATATATATATATATATATATATATATATATATATATATATATATATATACATTAATTAGGTTGATTGACAGTTCAAATCATAATCACTAGCACATGTAATTGTAATAGGAACCTCAAGGGCACTCGCTAGAACACCTAGACTTAATCAGACGTGTATCTTTTACTTAGAAATAAATCTTCTATAAGCACATAGAAGCATTAAAAAGCTCACTATTGCAAAATAATGCCCCTGACAAACGAGGTTGACAGTTAATTAATGAAAGATGGCAGTCGCGCATTTTTCGGGGTATATTTTAAGCTCTGCATATAAAATGTACCCGGAACAATCTACAGGGGAGTGTATCTAAAAGTCGAGGTTCGAGAGTCGAGAGTATAGGTCGAGAGTCGAGAGTATAGGTGGAGAGTCGAGAGTATAGGTCGAGAGTCGAGAGTAAAAGTCGAGAGTCGAGAGTAAAAGTCGAGAGTCGAGAGTAAAATGTCGAGAGTCGAGAGTAAAAAGTCGAGAGGAAAAAGTCGAGAGTCGATCGAGAGTAAAAAGTCGAGAGTCGATCGAGAGTAAAAAGTCGAGAGTCGATCGAGAGTAAAAAGTCGAGAGTCGGCAAATGTCCTCAGAAACAACAAAGTCAAAATATTTTTAACACAATATACAGGGTGTATCAAAAAAAAGGTAATAATAATAATAATAATAACATGACTTTATTTAACGAGGCTAACATACATTATTGGTTTCCCCAATAGTTTTCATTATGGGCCTCCTATCTACAATATATATAAATACAATTTAGAAAAAATATATACTAAAATGTAGTCTCTATGCTAAAGTGTTGTAATTGAGCGTTCTCTAGTAGACGCTTCTGTTCTAATTTGTTCACAAATTGTTTGTGCGAGAGCATGTCTTGGAGAGAGACTTCAACAGTGTTCCAGAGGCGAATTGCACTTGTTTGAAACATTCGCGATCCTGATACCTTTTTGTAAGTAGGTATTACAGCATTTCTATTGGTTGATGCTCTAGTATTGTAATTATGCGAATCTTTCAGATAACGTATGTATTCCGAAAAATAATCTGGGCAATGCCCTAAACTAATTTTATGTAACATATAAAGCTTTCGGCAGTTTATAGTGTCGGAAATTGGCAGCCATCCTAATTCTGTAAATAGTTTGACAGAGTTATCGCGGAAATTAGCATTGAGTATCAGTCTTGCACATCGTTTTTGGATTTTCAATAATCTGATGAGTTGTTCTTTGGAGCAATTGCCCCAAACAGTACAGCAGTACTCTAGGATAGGTTTTATAATCGCATTGTAGAGTAACGTTCTACAGTGAATTGTTAGATGTTCTTTCGCCCTTTTCAGGAGACAAATTCTAGAGTTTAGTTTTCTAATCAGATACTCAATGTGTTTGTTCCATTTTAAATGTTTATCAAGTTTGATTCCCAAAAGCTTTTCGTTTTTGATCTCACCGAGCTTAGTTCCATTCAGGTAGAGATCCAATTCATCTTTGTCAGAATGACGAAGTTTTTGCACTGTTCCAATCAATAATTTCTTTGTTTTAGTAGTATTTGATACCATATTGTTGACTGTGAGCCATTGTTCTGTAATGTCCAATGCGTTTTGTAATGTTTGCTGGATTTCATCACACGACTTGCTACTCGGCCAAAGTGTTGTATCATCCGCATAAATATCCGCGTTAGCTTCTCCAAGTGACATTGGCAGGTCATTTATATAAATGGAAAAGAGTTTGGGTCCCAATATCGATCTTTGTGGAACTCCTCGTTCCAACATCAGAGGACTTGAAAGTGATCCTAATACAGAACATTGTTGAGAGCGACCATCTAAATAGGATGTAAACCACTGCAAGGCCTGTTGACTAATATGGTATTTAGCAAGTTTCCTTAGAAGTACATCATGATTGACTAAATCAAACGCCTTACTAAAATCCATGAAGACAGCCCCAATAAGTTCACCATCATCCATTGCTTTGAGCCACTTGTCAGTTATGTTAATAAGGGCAGTTTCACACGAGTGATTTGATCTAAACCCGGATTGGTTTAAATACAGCAGATCATGGGATCTCAAGTGCTCGCAGAATGATAATGAAACATGTCGTTCAAGTGGTTTCGAGAGCATAGATAAAACAGAGATTGGCCGAAAATTGCCTCTTTCGTGGATCGATTATTTTTTATGACAGGGGGTAACTTTAGCTCTTTTGAATTCATCAGGGAAAACCTGACTTGTGATACTGGCATTATATATATTTACCACTGAACTTGAAGATATTGCTGGTAAGGCTGCTTTTAAAAGGCGAATGCTGATTCCGTCTAAGCCCGTTGCTTTGTAATCGAAATCCAGCGCGCTATTATACGTGAATCACTCGCCGTATGAACAATTGGTTTTCATATTCGGAAAGATCAGGCTTTTAGCTATTGAATGACATGCTTTTCAGTTTTCATATCAAGTGGAGAAAAAATAAGCATGTACGAGGCCGATTAAAAATGTTAGTCAAAATCGCATATTTTCACCTCTGTGCCTAATTAAAACAATGCATAACAAAAGAAAAAGCAATTAATCACGAACGTGTCGTATCTTAGCTAAGATTTATTCCTACTTAAATAATAATTATGAATATGTGTGCAGTTTAATGAAGGAGGTTCATTTTCAATGGTTTTAGACCCAACTCTCAACGGTGAAAATATGCGATTCAAACTAACATTTTTTTATCGGACTCGTATTTGCTCATTTTTTATCCATTTGGCATGAAGAAGATATCATTCAACAGCTAAAAGCATGATCTTTCCGAATGTAAAAAAATCTCGTTCATACGCAGAGTAATTCAGATACAATAGCGCGCTGAAGTTCGATTACCTTTTGTTTGATACACCCTGTATAACCGATCCGTAACAACGGCTGATTATATAGCCGTACGCCCCCTGTCAAAATAAAGTCATGCAAATTATAAACGTATAAATTCGGGCAACATTTGGGGGAAATAAATTTAAAAAGAAGACAGTACATGCAATATGGTATTTGAAATTACCAGAAATATGTAAACGGTAACGAGGAATCGACAAATAAGAAAATATTTTTGTCTACTTCCCAACGACACTTTTGGAAATTTAGTTACACGGAAAATTTTATTCAGTGGGTAAAAGTCGGGTAAATTTTCTTTCTGGCTCCCTGATTTTTTCCCGCCCGTACGCCTATGACGGCTGAACTAATTTCATTTCCTGTGCCCGGAACATAAAGCAAACATTATTTGCGAAACATAATTAGTATGCTCAAATTCTCGAAATTAAAGTAAACAAGAGGCATATACAATCAAAGGAATAATTCAGTATAATATAAAACAAAAACTTTCGCCAAAATTTATCCACAACATTCAATAATAATAACTATTATCTAATAACTAGTTTTATCGCTTCCTTATATATTACTGTCCATCCTTCCCGCTTTCACATGAGCTATTTCCGCGAAAAATTACTTATATGTGAAGCTACATATAAATACTAGGACTTTACAATCACGTGCGGGCATATTACCACCCGATAGAGTCATACATGCAACAAAATAATCCTATATTACTGACTCGTATTTATGAATTCACAATTATATTAATCGTTAGATTGTGATCAACGTGGATTTCTTAATACGCTCTCGTTTGATATAAACGTACGTTAATGAATAAGTGACATTTTAGTTACAAGCCTGGAGATGGCTGTCAAAATTCAGCGGAGTTTATGTGTCAGTTAGAATGAAATGACATGTGAAAACATTTAGCAAAATTGAGGCATCAATTGCGATATTATTTTCTTATCCAATCTTTTTTGTTCACGTTATTATTATTGACTGTTGTAGCAATATTTATTGGAAAGTTTGTATTTCAGCCGTTGGTACTTGTTACGGAATGGCTATGTAAAGCAATATATAGATTGTGTTAAACGTGGTTAAAAATATTTTGACTTTGTTTTTTCTGATGACATTTGCCGACTCTCGACTTTTTACTCTCGATCGACTCTCGACTTTTTACTCTCGACTCTCGACATTTACTCTCGACTCTCGACTTTTACTCTCGACTCTCGACTTTTACTCTCGACTCTCGACCTATACTCTCGACTCTCGACCCTCGACTTTTAGATACACTCTCTACAGGGTGTCTAAAAAAAGGCCATGGAAATTCAACAAGCTGTCGTGCGTCATAAAATTAGCTAAATAATTCAATTTTTACATAGGACAAAAGAGCTGTGATTTAGCTTTTCTATGATACATTTCTTAAATCGTAACAATGAGAAATGGCCACATACTCGTAAAATAAATTTGCGGGTCGAAATCACGTTCTTCCACTGTTGGGAATTGAAAATACATCCATTATGCAAAGTTAGTCAAACCAAAACCAACGCGACCCTTCTGCAAGCTATTTGTTTCATAAAACGTTTTGATTACGCATGCTCTCTGTTCAGGGGTTATTTGAACCATGTTTAACGACGTTCTTGTTGAGTTTTTAGAGTTTAAATTTGACTTCCGATACCAATACTGATACTAACGACAGGTCTTGCGCATGCGCTCTGCCTGCAAGAAGCACGAGGAGAAGTGTATCGGAAGTCACCGCTACCGAAGTCGGCCTTGTCTTGGAAGTTGGGGGATTTTAAGATAAACTCGTATATTTCATAATTTTTACGATAAACACGTAAACTATTTGTTTATTAGCATAGCCTGAGTCATGTTTTAGTCGGAATTTTAGCTCAGCTGCCGTTTAGTATACCGCACATTTTCGGTGACGATTAATGTGTTCTGTACTTTATCTGTCGTGATAACTGAACGCTATATAATTCTCGGTACCAAAATGAGAAGGGAAGCGAAGACATCAATATCGGTATTGGTATCGGCAGTCGAACTTAAACTCTCTAGCTATTGTCTCATTGAGACGAAGTTCGACGAGTTGAGCTCATTTTAGATAATTTAATTAATTCTAGCTACTGCCCTGAATTCGTTACGATTTAAAAGGAGTATCATTGAAAAGTTAAATAACTGTCCTGTCGTCCTATGTAAAAATTGAATTGTTTAGCAACGTTTATTATGCACGACAGCCTGTTGAATTTCCATAGAGTTATTTTTTAGACATCCTGTAGAACCCCTTTTACCAAGATAAAGTTTCACCGTTTTTTGAGTGCCACAACTGTGTATTAACTAAAACAGAATGCACGAAAGAGTTTGGAAAACTAGAAAGACATCAAGAAGAGCCAACCAAACGCGCGGAATTGCCATTGTCTTGCGCTTTCGTCATCGTTTGATTCCGGCTTCATTTTAACTACAAATGTTCGATAATTAATAAAATTGCATGCTGAAAAACATGCAGGAACAAAGCATTCCATGCAGGGCAAAAGTGAAACCAAGGAAAGTACAGGACTGGCGAAATTTGCCTTAAACAGATTACTTATACCGTTTCAGAAATATAAATTAGCAAAATATTTGCCAAATATTTGAACATTAATGTGGGTCGGTTTTAACGGGAAAAACAACGTAACAATAATGAACTGAACCTCACCTGCAAAAATTGTGCTGAAAATCGTTGCTAAAATCAATACGGTACCGCCGCCATTAATACAATTATAGACCAGCATCGTAAAATCTGCGTGCAGCCAATACTTCACTGAATTCAATGTGGTCTGGGTAAAACGCGTTGGTTATAAACGGTCGGTTTTAATCAGTACAAGCGGGGGCGGCTCTTAGACGGGTAAATCTGACTTGCTTCCTTGGCTTGTTCAAACATTGTATTAGAGGAAAGCACCGAAGCATAGGTAATGACAATTTATAATAATAATAATTAATAATTAAATAATAATAATTTATTAATTTATAAAGCGCTAAATACTATAAATATTCTAAAGTGCTATCATTACAAATTCAAATAAAATGTTATAAAGTATGAGATGATACCTATATATACATGTTTAAAATTTACTATTATATTTAAAGATAAAATGCCTTTTTAAAAAAGGAAGGTCTTAAGTCTGTTTTTAAAAGTTTCCACTGTTGACGCCTCACGAATGTCAGCGGGAAGTTCAAATTTACTATTATATTTAAAGATAGAATGCCTTTTTAAAAAGAAAAGTCTTAAGTCTGCTTTTAAAAGTTTCCACTGTTGACGCCTCACGAATTTCAGCGGGAAGTTCAAATTTACTATTATATTTAAAAATAAAATGCCTTTTTAAAAAGAAAGGTCTTAAGTCTGCTTTTAAAAGTTTCCACTGTTGACGCTTCACGAATGTCAGCGGGAAGTTCATTCCACAAAAATGGACCAGCCTTGGCAAAAGCTCTGTCGCCAAACGTTTTCCATAATGCGTTTGATTGACGTCTGTTTGGTTGGCGCAATTAAACGATGACTGAGTGAGTGGCAGGTGTATTTAGTGAGGATAAAGGCACTGAAAGAGCAATTTCCACCTCGAGCACAATTTTACAAAGTAGACAATATTTCTAAATCTAAAATATTACAAATTTGTATTACAAAACATTATTAATTACTGCTCTGTAAATGCTTCTTAAACTCTCTGCTCGCAACCATGCAGGCAACTAACCGTGACTCATATACTGACTGTCTATTTGTAATACACTCCTTGTTCGCCAGCTTTGAATTTGTATAACAAAAAGGATAAAAGAGCTGACAAAACAAGGGCTGCGTTTGCATGAAAACTATTGTTTGTTGTATTGAGTAGCAATTGAATTTTTGCTAATCTATACAGTTCATTGTAACAGAAGTTAAATGTACGTGTATCTAAATCTTAGCTTCGAGTTCAGGTCATCAGAACTAAATATATATTTGCTAGGTAAGGCAGTCATGTAGAAAATTTCGTAATTGAAATATATAGTTTTGCAATGCAAATTTCCCGAATGTATAATATAACATGGACATTTAGCTTTGCAGTAGGGGGGTTAAAATATGTATAGTTATAATCTTAGGGGAAGTATACGTCGTTTTGTTTAGTACATCTCACTGATGAGTGCAAATATATGTATCAAATATGCACAAAAAGACCAAATATGATTACTGATCATACTTTTCTGTTTTTGGCGACTGTGGTCTCCAGGAAATAGCACGTACGGTAATGAAGAGTACACTGTAAATTAAAAAGGGCTGAAACGACCCCAAAAATGGGGCCAAAACGGTGACCGCAAAATAGATCTTTTTTGGGGGTCAAAATGGCACCTATAACAATGCGGCCCCTAAGGGGTGATTTGGCCCTTCCAGTGTAAGGGCTGTTTCAGCTTTTAGTAGGAGCTGTTTTGGCAAAAGCAGGGGCTATTTCAACTTTCAATAGGGGCCAATTCAGAAAATTAGGGGGCTATTTTGGCATTTCGAGGAGTTAATTTGGCTCCCATTTGTGGTCATAATGAACCCCAAAAAGCGTCGATTTGGCTCGCTAACCGGAGCTGTTTTGGCTACTGAGTTACAGAGTAGTTTCAGACCCAATGAAGAGCTGCTTTAGAACCGAAGGAGCCGATATAGCTTTTCTAATGGTGTAGTTTTTTAGCACCCAAAGGGCCAATATGGTTCTATTTCTGAGCCATTATAGATTCAAAAGAAAAGCCAATTTAACCCCTACTTTGTTAACCGGGGCTGTTTTGGCCCTTTCAGAGGAGAGCAGTCTCAGCCCCAATGAAGAGGTGCTTTAGAACCGATTTAGCTGATATAGCTTTTTGGTGGTGCCGTTTTATATAGCATTTAAAGTCATGTGGATTTGGCTGCACTCTTGCATGTAGACGTATTCTACATATATATAATGAATCAGGCAAAAATATTGGGGTTTATTTGGTCTTGATTAAATTATTACAATTTTTCCAACAGACCAAGATTGGAATGAATTATTGTAATATAAGTTGAGATAAATAATGTTCCAATTTCTGTATTATAAACACAATACTATAACTAAAATTACAATATACATGCACAGTAGTCAGTATTATGGATCTCACCGAAATGTGGGAACCATCAAAAGATTCGTACATATATGCCATATGGCTCCGAAAGTTTACAATTCTAATTTTAAAGAGTAATCAACTTGTGATAGCAATAGCAGGCGCGGTTGTTAACGTGAACGCAATACGAATAATTTCTAATACATTACCACAGTTCGGTGAGATGTGAGACAATACACACATTCCATCAATAACATTAACTTGGGTTAGCATATGTCAACAAAACTCTCAAAAAGTGTAAAATTACTTAGTACTAATATTCATGAGTCATGACAAGTCATTGAAGAGGGCTGTGATCCTCATTGGCAGTTGTATGCCATTTTCTGTGTTGCCCATGCACTACTATAGTCTGCAAGGCAGACAAGATGCTCTTCGTGTGGCAGTACTCTCAATATTGAAGATGTAAAAACTTGCCAATAAGGCGATAATTGCATCAAAACAACTGTTGCTTGTTATGGAATTTTCATCCTTTCCCTCGATAACGTATGATTGACAGTTTCTAGTCGTATTCTAGTTCGCTGCCAACGGCCACAATATGGGTTGTGATAAGTTTGAAATTGTATCATTTGCATCTTCGGACTCCTACAAAAAAAATACAATTAGAATGTATGCAATAATCCGCAATTACAGAGGGTTATAGGACACATAAGATATAAGGTCTCACCAAGAAACCCAATAATAAAGCTCTTACATACATCAGACACAAAATACCTGAAAAAGTATATCACACCCGACCCCTAAGTATAACATACCAATATACAGTAATATTTTGAAATATCAAAATATATGCTGCCTCGCAACAAACTCTCCTAAAAATAAACTCACTATAAGCACACAAATATTATTCAAATTTACAGTATACTGTATCATAAGAAAAATAAATACAAAATTGGAAACATGAATTTCCATAGCCTGGTACAAGTGATTCAGGGAGACTGCATAAAAACATAATACATGATGTACATATAACTATACGATCTTATTTAACCCATTAAGCACCAGGGCTCTCCCCTTTACGAGTAGAATAGGCGTTCGACAGAGTAGAGTAATAAAGTTCAAAATCATTTTGTTTGAATTACTTCACCTATCTATTTGTTTAAAATTATGTATGGTAGATTCTGTGGTATGAACACTTGCAAAATTATTAAAAAAAAATTAAAATATAATGTGACATTATGTTGCCTTGACAACACTTGACACAACGTGAGCCTGCGTTCAGTGCTGGCCAATTGCTAATAGTTCACGTTAAATCAATGTTTGGAAAATATAGGCTAGGGGTTGCTGCATGCATTTATTTCTAGTTAAATATTAATTGGATATACTCATGTCACTAGTGGTATTCATTATATCTTGGTCAGACAAAACAAATTCCATATTTAATTTAAGATGTTTGGCAACCGACAGGTTAAAATAGACATCTTGTGAATTATATCACAAACGATTAATACATTTTTGCTGCAGCAAGCACAGATTCACCAGAAACATGTAACCTCATGAGTTTACACACCCCAACACAACACTTTCCTAAAATGACAGCTTTCCTTCGTCATTTAATTTTATAACTGGATTTAGCTGATCTGTTCTTATAGTTTTTATATTTTTAGACTTTTCTTTATTCAAGTTTGAAACGAGACCAAGATTGGTAGCGTTTAATTTTGACAATTTAAGAGAATGTAGTTCTGCATTACTGTTTTTCTCTGTATCTCATCCTTAATAAGCCTACCATTTTTAAATGTCAAATGTACAACAGATACTTTGGGCTATTTATTGCCTCTTTCTTTCCTCTTCTATATATTAATAGTTTTTCTTTGGAAAATATCAGTAATCATATTTCTAATCTGTACAGTTCTGTTCCTACACAACATCTTCGCACCCACACATCGTGTTTAGGACTGAAGTTCCAGATCATGGAAATGCTCTGCCAACAGCCCTGCGGGTTCCCAAAGAGTGTATAGCCCATGTATATCATAGTACAAACCATAGAAATAAAATTAAAACAATATATTCCATTTCAAATGCATTTTTTTTTGCATTAATGTACAATAACTAGGGAATTTTATGTAAAGTGCAATTCTACATTCTCTTCGATTGACTTGAATATGTTTATGGCTAGCATTTATTTCATGTACAACAAATCCACTAAATTTCAATGGACATAGTCACATAGCATCTCCCTATTTGAAATAAGCCATAAGGCATTATATTTGGTATTTTAATATCTTAATTATTACAGAAATGATTGCACAAGTCATGAGTTTTGACAAATGTTGATCTATATTTTCAATATTAACCCATAAGCACCAGTGCTCTCCCCTTAATGAGTGAAATCATCTGGCGTTAGACAGAGTAAAATAATAAATTAGGGCACAATGCGACTCAATGTGTTAACAACACACATGGGCAGATAGGCCAGTTAATCCATTAAGCACCGGTGCTCTCCCCTTAATGAGTGAAATTGTCTGGCATTAGAAAGAGTAAAATAATAAATTAGGGCGCAATGCGACTCAATGGGTTAACTAGACACATGGGCAGATAGGCTAGTTAACACATTAAGCGCCAGCGCTCTGCCCTTAATGAGTAAAATTGTCTTGCGATAGGCAGAGTAAAATAATAAATTAGGCCGCATTAGGGCACAATGCAACTCAATGGGTTAACTATAAACATGGGCAGATAGGCTAGTTAACACATTAACCGCCAGTGCTCTCCCCTTGATAAGTAAAGTTGCCTAGCGTTAGATAGCCAGAGTAAAATAATAAATACTTAGGCCCCGTTTACATGAGACCGGAACGAAGTCAAACCGGGACCATCTCGTTTCGGTCATAGTATTATCTATAATAGATGTTTACATGAGACCGGGACGAAAATAACTCAGACCGGTCTCAAGTCATTCCGCCTTCTGGACTGAACCGACTGACTTCAGACCGGCATGAATTCAGACCGGCATGAATTCAGACCGGCATGAATTCAGACCGGGATGAATATAAACACAAATACATTTCAGACCGGTCTCGGCTGTAATCTTGACATTGGAACAACACATGCTAACAAAAGCCACCTGAAAAAGAAAATTGCCTGGCAAGGGGAATAAATTGAAGATTTTGTGATCCTCGTACCGGTGTCATGTAAACATGTTGACAATTTCAATTTTCATTCCGGTTTGACTTCGTCCCGGTCTCATGTAAACAGGGCCTTAGTGCGCATTAGGGCGCAATGCGACTCAATGGGTTATTAACATCAACAATGTTTCAAATGTCAAACCTGCCATGCTCAATATAATCATAGATTCAACTATTAATTTGACATGTAAGTCAGATGTCCTGTATACAACAACAACATCGATATACAGTATACTATTAATTAATTAATCAATCAGCCACAAAATTGTCAATCGTGTATTATTCTCGGCCTAAAAGCTAAACCTATTAATCCTAGTTGGTTTTAGTTTGGCTTTTGCTGCTACTGAAACGACTTTTATATAATTATGTGATTACAGCTCGGAATTACAGTGGATTCTGCATAAGATTTTATCTGGATTCGATGTTTCACTATTTAGTATCGAGTAAAATCAACAAATAATTATGGATCAAACGAGGATGAGAGTATTTTAATTAAGTTGAAACATAGTTGGAACACTCATCAAAGCTTTAATAATATTTTGTTCATCTGGAACTTGAAATGTCCTTTGTGTATTTATAAGCAATTCATGCATGACTTTCATCCTCATTTGACCGAGGCTATAATCTAAAATACCAGTTTAAAAACTTACATTATCAAATGAACCAGTGTTGCCAGTATGCCTGATTCAGGAGATGACTCTTGATTGGGAAAAGTTAAACTAGACTGAGCTACTAGCAAGTGATATGTCGCAGGATTCGAGCTAGTAGTGAACTGGATATTTCAATGTTGTGTGCACTCTTTTCATCGTCGCTGTCACTTTCAACTAGAACCTACATATACAAAAAATAGATAATCTTACATTCAAACGTGTTTCGTATCGTAAACGTGAAGCTATAAGAACATATTTTGAATAATTGATGTCCGCTGTCGTGATTTGGCCATCAGCAAACAACAGTCGTCGACACGAAGGTGAAGAAAGTAAATAACATTTGCCAGAATTAGGCTAGTACAGCACGAGACGTTTCTTGAACGTATTTTCCTAATAAGTTGTTTATTTGTCCAAAATATACTGCAACGAAGAGGTTTTACGCTTGTATTTTATCCGTATCCTTCGTCGAAGCAAATCCCAACGGCCAACGTTCGATAATGGCGCCAAAAGTTAGTACGCATGCTCGAGAATGATCGCAAACCCGATTGCTTACGGGCGCGTGCATTCTCGTTCCCAGTTCCCGCAATCATTAATATTACACCCAGGCCTTATTCTATGATTACACGTTCAATTCTCGTAATTAATTTTTACAAATACCGTATTTATATTTACGCTAAAATTACTAAAAATCTGGAAAACAAATTTCAATACCCTACAAAATGAAACATCAAATCTCACCTTGTATAATCCAAAAAACGTCCTCTTCTTTTTCTTTGCGAGCATGTGCATTCTTTAAGTTTTATGCGGAAGTTAATTTGATACGATCATACGACGGACGATCGACACAATTAAGAGTCGATTTGACAGAATTAAGACTGTCGATTTGACGGAAGGGTCGATTTGACACAATATTAATAGTCGATTTCACACAATTAAGAGTCGGTTTAACAGAAGAGTCGAATTGACACATTTACGAGTCGATTTGACAGAAGGGTTGATTTGACACATTTAAGAGTCGATTTGACAAAAGGGTCAATTTGACACAATTAAGAGTCGATTTGACAGAAGGGTCGATTTGACATATTTAAGAGTCGATTTGACAGAAGGGTCGTTTCGACAAAAGGGTCGATTTCATTCCAGGGTCGATTTGACCTATGCGAGAGTCGTTCCGCGATGGAGAGCCGAAACAAAGCTCATAGGGGCCAATGTGTTGATCAAAAGCGGCCCCTTTATGTGGGGCCAAAACAAACCCGGACGTGAGAGTCGTTTTGGTCTGTGGGGCCATATTGGCAATTGATGGGGCTAAATTGGAAAATGATGGGTCCGTTACGGCAAAGGGTAGGGCCAATTTGACTTTCCTCCATACCTAAAATGGCTCCGTCGGTGCCGATCCAGCTCTCCAATGCCAAAATGGCTTTCACATAGGGCCAAAACAGCTTTGGCCCCAAAAGGGCTGAAACGGAATTTGGGGTCGATTTGGCCCTTTTTAATTTACAGTGTACACATACAAACTTTGAACTTAATCTCTGTAATCGAGGCGTTTTATAAAGTAGCTTAGGGTAAAGACACAAATGATGTATATAAGTTGAACCATTTAAGTCAAGAATTTGATTAGTGGCAACTCTGTACATGTTAGCTTATTTTAAACGCATTAGCGTCGGATTTTTATCTTCTGTGACAAGTGGAGAGTTATTTTAAGATTAGAATGCTGTCGTGCATCAATATAATAACAAATGATTCCCTGCATAACGGTGATTGCCTTTTCATGCACCAAAGATTTGTTATGTTAGACAACAAGACTATGACAACATAAACTGTAAGAATTTAATTTAAACCAGCCACAAGTTTGAGCCCAGTCCCCGGCCGAGTTATTTTGGGGGAAACAGTACTAAATCCATGTCAGAAGGTTTGTCGATCGGATGTAAAGATTAAAGAGTTGTTCTGAAAGTGATGAGACGACTGCGAATATGATGAATTCGATCGGAAATAAATTGTCGTCAGCTCGAGCATTCGACAACTCTTTGTTTTTATCCGAAGGGAAATCCGGAAGAAAATTCAAGAAATGCCGAAATTTCATCATACTCAATACACATGATGTGTATGCTATTATAATAAAATTTCGGTTTTGTTATTTTCAGAAATTTCAAATTAGGTAAAGGTTTATAGTTAATTGTTTTCTATTTCTTATCATTTGTTTTTCCCGGTTTTGTATAGTATTAAGCTCACTAGTCAGTTTGTCTGTACGTAAAGATGTCGTAATGTCGTTGAAATAATTAAGCTTCAGAAACTTTTTAAACAAGGGGGGCGGCCAAACTTTCTTTCGTATTGCGCATGCATGATTCTTCTCAGGATTTCAGTTATAAGATTATTTACAAGCAGTATGTTGGGATTTCACAATGCAAACGATCGGCAATATTTTGAATAAATCAGGTAAAAATGGTTTTATTTCCTTCTCGTGATATACATGAAAATCTTTATATTTAGATCTGCTGTTTTGTATTCGATATAGAAGTATTTAAACAATACGATTTCATGAATTAATAGACAGTTTTAATAGACCAATGTCACTGATCTATTCGTCAATAATGTCTTTTTTAAACAAGGGTTGAAAATGTACTTTTAGTGTATTTGTTTGTGCGGCAATGTGTCAAGCCGATGAGTATAGTGTTTATTCCACAATCTTGGCAAAAAGTTCGCACAACGACTATAAACAAAATCGCAACTGTTTAATATACTTGGGTTTTAAAATTATATTGCACATCCCCCAGCTCTCCCCCCCCCAATTCAGTGTTACTTTCCCACACTTCTACAACACGTGATATTTTGTCTACAATATGCCAAACTACTAGAAAATACATGCATGCAGAAACAATCGCCTTGCTGACAAAACCATTCTATTATCCGAACATGAAGTATCTAAGGATGTTGTCATGGTAACACGATATTTTTTTAAGAATATTCTTACCAAAGAAAAATCGCCTAAAAATATCATTTTTAATTACAAAATCATCAATTTCCCAACATATATATGTTAGGTATGTTATTATACGTAGTATAAGCTTCAATTTAAGGTAAAATTCAACCAAAACGTTTTAAAATAAAGTGTTCTTTATAAAACTAAACTGCCTTTAATTAAATGGCTTTATCGATAAACTTTGAGTTTGCAATAAAATGATTTCAAATTCTCGCATGCAAATAACTTTGCGTTCTTTTTTTACTTAAAAAATTCAATATAATAAAAAAAGGGAATCAATATTAATAATACACTGAAATTATATGCTGTCTTGTTTAGTTTTTTCATATACGCAAAGGGTCAAAGGCCGTCGGGTTTTAAAGCAGTTCGAAAATCAATATTTAAAACAAAGTTACCTTCGTTAACGTTGCCTCCCTTCTTTTAGCCGATTAAATTAAATTATAGCATCGTGCTACTGTTCATGGCCAAGATTGTAGTTACTATGAAAACACTTCATGTACATTGAAGACAAATAAAACTCAATGAAAAATGAACGATTATTTTGTAATTTCATACGATATTGGCCGGGTTGAGAAGGATATGACCTCCACTCATCAAACAACCATACCTAAGACCATTCATAGTTTTATCGCCACCGCTGATCTCTCTAAGACTGCCAAAAACCTCATATCCGCCACACCGCGCACACCTGTTAAGTACTTCTTCCTCGAAATTGACAAACCTAACAACCCAGGTAAACTCATCGTCTCTGATTGTGGTTGTCCCAGAGAACTCATCTCCAGTTTTCTTGATTGTGTCATGGCGCCCTTTGATAAAGATGCAATCCTACTTCAAGGATACCAAATAATTATGTTCTCCAAATATTAAAGATTCATTTTCATGGCGCTCAGAAATTCTTCTTCACCATGTACGTCAAATCCGTATATGTAATTCTGTATCAACAAGGTTTAAGGGCACTGGAATAAATACGCGCCCTCATGTTCTCGTGTCGAATTGCAATGTTTTATTAACTTTATTAATAATTTCCATCCAGCTATCCAGTTCGCATGAGAGATCAGTGAGGTTAGTTTATCATTCTCAAATATCCTTGTACCAGCCAATGACAATAAGCTGGTTACTTCTGTGTTTTGCAAGCATTTGTAGGCCTCGATGGCCTCCCAAAAATCCTGAACTGAGACTATCACAGGCCCTTTGTCCAATGTGACAGGCAACAGCAAAATCCCCTTAGTATTCACTTATCATGTTTTCAATTTCAAAGTTAGAGATGTCATTACGAATAATTTTCACATTTTGAAATGGGACCCCAAAACATCTTCCATTTTCTTCGATAACCCATTTTTTCGATACAGGAAAAATATTTGTGAAACACTAGTTCATAAAGCTCCCTATCACAGGATTCGTCGTCACAAAATGGCAAGCTCCCATGCCGGTTGGCATATGCAAAACGTGTAATTTTATAGATTATTCCACCACCATTTTGGCACCAAAAACTCTATAGCATGTCAAGCACTATTTCACGTGCACCTCTTCCCATCTCATCTACTGCATTTTATGTAGACTTGCCACAAGTCGACCATGGGGGAGGGAAGGCACGGGGAAGGAGCGGCGACCCGAGCCACGAAGCGCGAGTGGTCGACTTGTGTCGCTTGCAGGAATTTAAATCGCATTAAAAGTTTTGGCGCGAATAATTTTGACATAAATGGGTGTGTACATTTCATACAATTGCTTCACCGCGCCGACAATAGGTCTACAAAATCATTCTCAAGAATTGATATTTCTTTGACATCAAATGAAACAGTTTGCATCAAGTGTGGAAACGAAATGACTGACCCAAGTAAGCGTTGAAAGCTGTTCAATGTATCAACAAAAACAAGTGCATGTAAAAACTTATTGAATCTGGACAGTTGTTTGTCTTACAATGTTTGCCGTAATCGTATGGACAAGAATAGTAATTTATTAGACTTATTATAGAAAGTTGATTCAGTTCGCCAGCGATTTAACGTAGTAGAAGTTAATCTAATTAAAAAGAAACAGACAACTGTAACCAAGAAGCAGAGAGGTGGCGATTGTGACCAACTAGAATTAGACGTCGCTAGAGTTCAAAATCCAGTTAAAATACGCGTTGTTTTCTCAGCAAACGAATTTGTAATCATCAGTAATCGAGATCAAGAAACCTAAACTAAACCCAAACTAGTGTGGAAATTTTAGAATCATCAGATGCATCTTCGGTGGCAGTATTTAAAGTTTATTTCTACACGTGCACCCTGTACTTTATACCGTACTCAATGTAATGTTTGTTTGTGTATTTTCGCATGGATTTTGTGTTCTACAAAATTGTAATTACATTGTTTACTCTGTTTGCTTCAATAATACACATTTGTTCAACAAAAAGCCTGAGAATATAATATTATTTTTAGACTCCTTCGATAATGTCCGATAATGTACCCGCTCCGGTCTTCAATGTAAACAATGACGTCGCCGATGGATTTTTCCACCGGTGATATTTGGCGCGGTGCAAGTGACAAAAGTCCTTTCCACAGAGAAAGTGAAGCGCGCCATAAAAGGGCCTGGAACGGATTTTGGATAGTCTACATCTTAATTATGCAGAAGA